TGTCCTATTGGTCTGAAGATTACTTGACATGTAGATCTAACAATTTTACCTTGTCAGTTTTGCTCTTACTGCTTTAGTTTTTGAGATGAAAGCCAAAAACTTCATGTGACCCCTATAATCTATTTTCAGAATCTGCCGCCATGTTTTTGAATGGATCAAATGCTAGAATATAATCTATAAACTAAATACCCTAAGGAACATTCAATTAAAGGCTTTAAGTATTTGGCCAAGTAGTTTCAGAGAAGAAGATCTTTAAAAAAGTAATTAGACTTTCACAAAAAATGTTAAAAAAAACGTTTTAAGGGCAATAACTCCTTAAGGGGTCAATTGACTATTTTGATCATGTTAAATTATTTGTAGATCTTACTTAGCTGAAAATTTATTGCCATTTATATATTCTCTCTATCTATTATAATATTAAAGAAAATAACTAAAAACAGTAAAATTTAATAAAATTAAACTATTTCCAACAGTAACCAACAATGGGCTGTCGAACTTGTCTGAAAATTTCATAACACATAGATCATGATCCTTTTTTCACTTTTGCTCTAACTGCTGTAGTTTTTGGGATATAAGTAAACAACTGCTTTTGTCCCTCTAATTCTATTTTTAGCCATGGTTGCCATGTTTGTTGATGGATCAAAACTTTGGATACAATTTACAAACAAGATACCCTAAGGAACATTCAGTTATAGTTTGGAAGTATTTGGCCAAGTAGTTTCAGAGAAGAAGATTTTGGAAAAAGTAGAGAATTGCACGCACAAAAATGTAAAAAATAAACGTTTCAAGGGCAATAACTCCTTAAGGAGTCAATTGACTATTTTGATCATTGGACTTAATTGTAAATCCTTCTTAGCTGAACATTTTTGCCATTTACACTTTCTCTCGATCTATTATATTAAAGATTATAACCAAAAACAGTAAAATTTCACAAAAATGAAAGAACCTTAGTGAGCGCGCTCACCCACGTACCCACATTGTCATTGGAGAAATAAAATAAGTGTAAGAAAAAAAAATTGTATCAGAAAAAAAAATTGAATCATAATTTCCTATCAATATGCACATCTACATAGTATGTCCTTATTATCTACACAGTTTCATGAAATTCTGTTGTGTGGTTTGAGAGGAGTTGCGATGACAAAAGGTTGCAGTAGTATATTGGGCAAATAAGTTCAAAGGGGCGTAACTCCTGGAAATAAAATTGAATCGTAATTTCCTGTCGATATGCACATCTACGTAGTATGTCCTTATTATCTGAAAAGGTTTCATGAAATTCTGTTGTGTGGTTTGAGAGGAGTTGCGATGACAAAAGGTTGCAGTAGTATATTTGGCAAATAAGTTCAAAGGGGCGTAACTCCTGGAAAAAAATTGAATCGTAATTTCCTGTCGATATGCACATCTACGTAGTATGTCCTTATTATCTGAATATGTTTCATGAAATTCTGTTGTGTGGTTTGAGAGGAGTTGCGATGACAAAAGGTTGCAGTAGTATATTGGGCATATAAGTTCAAAGGGGCGTTACTCCTGGAAAAAAATTGAATCGTAATTTCCTGTCGATATGCACATCTACGTAGTATGTCCTTATTATCTGAAAAGGTTTCATGAAATTCTGTTGTGTGGTTTGAGAGGAGTTGCGATGACAAAAGGTTGCAGTAGTATATTGGGCAAATAAGTCCAAAGGGGCGTAACTCCTGGATATAAAATCGAATCGTAATTTCCTGTCGATATGCACATCTACGTAGTATGTCCTTATTATCTGAAAAGGTTTCATGAAATTCTGTTGTGTGGTTTGAGAGGAGTTGCGATGACAAAAGGTTGCAGAAGTATATTGGGCAAATAAGTTCAAAGGGGCGTAACTCCTGGAAAAAAAAATGAATAGTAATTTCCTGTCGATATGCACATCTTCGTAGTATGTCCTTATTATCTGAAAAGGTTTCATGAAATTCTGTTGTGTGGTTTCAGAGGAGTTGCGATGACAAAAGGTTGCAGTAGTATATTGGGCAAATAAGTTCAAAGGGGCGTAACTCCTGGAAAAAAAAATTGAATCGTAATTTCCTGTCGATATGCACATCTACGTAGTATGTCCTTATTATCTACAAAGTTTCATGAAATTCTGGTGTGTGGTTTCAGAGGAGTTGCGATGACAAAAGGTTGCAGTAGTATATTTGGCAAATAAGTTCAAAGGGGCGTAACTCCTGAAAAAAAAATTGAATCGTAATTTCCTGTCGATATGCACATCTACGTAGTATGTCCTTATTATCTGAAAAGGTTTCATGAAATTCTGTTGTGTGGTTTGAGAGGAGTTGCGATGACAAAAGGTTGCATTAGTATATTGGGCAAATAAGTTCAAAGGGGCGCAACTCCTGGAAAAAAAAATTGAATCGTAATTTCCTGTCGATATGCACATCTACGTAGTATGTCCTTATTATCTGAAAAGTTTTCATGAAATTCTGTTGTGTGGTTTGAGAGGAGTTGCGATGACAAAAGGTTGCAGTAGTACATTAAAGTAAATCAGTTCAAAGGGGCGTAACTCCTAGAAAAAGAATTGAATCGTAACTTCCTGTCGATATGCACAACTACATAGTATGTCCTTATTATCTAAAAAGGTTTCGTGAAATTCTGTTGTGTGGTTTGAGAGGAGTTGCGATGACAAGAAATAGGACTGACGGACTGACGGACGGACGGACTGACAGACGGACGGACGGGTCAAAAACATTATACCCTCCGCAACTCGATGCGTGGGGTATAATAAACTATTTTGGGACAGTAACCCTACAATGGGTGGTGCAATTGGTCTGAAAATTTCATAGCAGATAGATTTTGACTTATTCATCACTTTTACTACAGTCACTTTTGCTCTAACTGCTAAAGTTTTTGAGATAAAACGGTTCGGTTCGTCTTAAAATTTCAGGGCTGATAGATCTTGACATATAAAACAGTTTTACACCTTGTCAGATTTGCTCTAAATGCTTTATTTTTTGAGATATAAGCCAAATTTGACCACTATGTTCTATTTTTAGCCATGGCAGCTATGTTTGTTGATGGATCAAAACTTCGGATACAATTTAATAACTAGATACCCTATGGAACATTCAGTTAAAGTTTGAAGGTATATTGCTCAGTAGTTTCAGAGGAGAAGATTCTTGAAATAGTTTGAGACGACGACAGACGGCAACGATGACGACAAGTGATGACATAAGCTCACATGGGGCCCTTTGGGCCCGGTGAGCTGAACTAAAAAGGGGTTAAAAAATAAGTGAGAGAAGTAATCAAGAGGGCATTAAAAAATAAAAAGACCAATAAAAACAGACAAAACCGAAGACTGAGAAACATGAAACCCATCAAAACCGGCAGTAAACTGAGGTGCTCTGGAAGAGAACACAGTTCCTTCTCCACATGTGGCACCCGTCGTAACATAACATACAGAAAATACATTTTTCATTTTTTTTTAATTAAATAAAATTTAAACCCAATTACATAAAATAACATATTTTGCAATATATCCAAAATACATCCGAACAAATACATGAAATAATAACATTGTATATCACAGAATACTTTAAAACTTAGAATTAAATATATCTAATCAACAAGCACATAATGGCACATACGAAATTCTAAATCTTATGTTTCTTTACCTAAAAATATGCAAGTCTTTCAGTCCTCTGCTACATGCATGACACAGAGGCTGTTATAGCCATTCATAAGGCTATTACATAACCAATTACAGACGTGTAGACTTTATACATTGGTCAAACTACATTTGTATGTCAGATCTTTCACACATACATATAACGCATTCGTATTTTGGGATGGAACATGCTTTAAACTAGTATATCTCTGTTTGCTGGAAAAATCACAACTAATAAACAAAACAAATGTAAATATATTCCATCCTACATTACAAATGCATTGTATGCATGTCTGGAAGGTCTGATTATTCATTTTATTAAGTAGAAAAAAATGCTTCAAGGAATAATGGGTGTCCCCTGTGATCTAAAAATATAAGCACAGAAGTGCACACACTGAAATGTCTCTCCTGCTTTATTTATTTATTCATGATTGAATGTATGTTGAAAGTCTGTAATGTGAAGGTTTTACTACTAGTATCACATAAACTTATCATCAGTCATTGAACCATAAAAAAGAGTTCAAGGTCAAGTTACCAAGAAAAAAAACCAAAACTTTCCATACACCAAATATAATTCAACTTTTGCTAATTGTATCCAATTAATTAACAAAGCTATAAAAACTTAACATTTAGTGAGGATTCATGAAAATGAGTTCAAGGTCAAATGCACCCTGCCAGAATGACAAGTATACATCACAATCATTCTAATTGATTTTAGTTTCCAGGAAATCATCGTTAACCAATGAACCATTAAAATAAGGTCATGGTCAGATGAATCATGCAAGACAGAATGTTCACTTTACAATCATTCCATACACCAGTATAGTTGACTTATTGGTATCTAATAAATTGACAAAACCATGAAAATTAAATATTGACCAATGCACAATTAAAATGAGATCAAGGTCAGAAGAAACCTGCCAGAAAGACATGTACACCTTACAATCAGCCAATCCACAAAATAAGACCAATTTCTTATATACTATAATCGATAAAATTCATGTGACTTCATTCTTACAACCAAACAACTATCACAACGTTTTGTATGCGTAAAAGTAGTTTCACTAATCAATTCATTCTAGTTCATATTCTCAACCATATACACATATTGTTAAAAACAAAAATGCCATTATTCTACATATATCCGGTAGAAAAATCAGTTCATATGTGGATAAATTTCAAGGAATTGTAGACAATTTTAAACAGAAGACGACAACAACTCAACAAGACAGACATGATTAGGCGACAGAATAACCAATGGATGAAGTCCATTGTAATCACATGTAGATCAATACTTAATAATAATATATCACTAAAGCATAAAGATTGAGATAAGTCATGGAATAATCTACATAAAAAATGCATGATCAAAAAATAAATTTACTGAAGCCAAACCAGCAATTATAAGTAATAATATTAATTCAGGTACATAAATATGACTAAAAAGTTGCTATGCATGATTGTAAGTATATATATTTTGTATAAATTATGCAAAACTTTTAACCAAAAAAAAACCACATCAAAATATTTCCCTCACATGTTTATAATAAAATAAATAATAAAATGTTCATGAAACAGATCAAAAACTATTATACAAATGTGAGAATATATCTTAGGATGCTAATTATGCATGACTTTGCTTTTTAAACATGTTTACTCTTGGTGTTTCTTGAAAAAGAAAATAGGAAATTCTGTGAAACATTGCAATTTTACACCTAAAAGACAACATATGTACATCAAACATTAACATCAGACATTTATGTCCACTTCAGAATTGAATAAAGTTCAACAAAAGGAGTTTCTGCATAGTAAACATACAAGTGGTTTGTTTTTTATTGGAGAAATCACAAATCTCTATGTCCAAGAAGTATGTTGTAACAATGAACATCATTACTGACCTTATAAAAAGCTAATGAAATATCGCAAATTCATAACATATTGCATAATAGGCCAATAAAATCAAATAATTTTTCTTAAGACTTTGCATATCACACTCTATTCAATATGATACAAAAAATCTTTCCTCATGTTGGAAAAAGATAACGGCACAATCATAACAGAAATAAATTTCCTGAAAAAAATGTGTGATCCTTAACTGACTTGTGCTTATAAAACTTACAACTACAGTGCTGCATATTGTTGTTCAAACAATACAAAAGATAAGAATTCTACATGTGTGATATTCAGTACATTTTGTAGCTTAAAACCCTGAATTTGTACCCCAGAAAATAAAAGAATTACCATAGATTTTTGATGATGAAACATCAAAACATGATATGGAATTAAAAGAAATAAAATTAGATATAAGATAAATCAGTACTGAATATGAAAAAGGGTAAAAGTTGAAACTTTGAAAGGTGAAGTCTTGACAGACAAGTATTTGAGTAATAACAAATGATTTTTAATTCAACACTAACTGAACTGGCAAGTATACACGTTTTGGCTACATGATTCCAGTCACATGCTTCTATACTATAAACAATAAACAGCTAAGCAAAGATCCCATGATTCATCCTTATTGTCAAGAATAATTTGCAATATTTGTTCGGCATTTAATGATATGTTCACTAATTCCTACTATATCAATCAAAACAAACTCAAGTTAAGGTACAATATAATTATGTGAACAAATTACTTAAATCTGACAATTATAGTCCCATGATTCTGGAAAGGAGCAATCATCCTTAATGTGAAGAAGCTGCCAAATATAAATTCTAAGAAACAATTCTCATTATCTGTTATGTGAATTCCCTTAAAATTTATTACGTAGAAATATTTAATCATTAATTTAACCTTATTTATGGCATAGAAAATATGGTTTTATAATAATTCAAAAGATCAATTCATACCAGATATTCAATTATATATAATCAAATGATAGAAAAATCGAGAGAAATAAGTCTTGTTCTTCTATATAGGTTATTTGCAACCCTCATAAAAGGCCTTTCATATTTCATATGCATAACAAAACTATCAGATCTACAAAACAATAACATATTTACAGCAGTACATAACATAATACAATTTGTGAATGGCACTACATAGATAAAACCATAGTATTCCACAAAACTGGCAAAAATTAAATAAAAGAGGAGCAAACATCCTCAAGAGATATTTATAGCTTTATAGTATCTAGCTACATGTACTTTATTTATATAACATATAGTTAACAAATGTAATAAAGTCCTTGTTATTTTTCAAAGTTTTTGGAAAAAAGGTGCTTATGTTGATTGTATGAAAAACCTAAAAAGACTCATTTCCCGCCAACTTTTCAATGGCTTATATCTCAAAAACAAGCACACATACTCTTCATTTTTTTCTGCTTCTTTAGTTCCTTTATTTTTATACTATCAATTTACAACAATCTACAAAAAAGCATGTCATTTTGAAACAAAGTAGAGAAAATCCTAAAACAGGAAAACAAATCAAGTCAATGAAATAAACAGGGTAACACTAATTCATCAAAACGCAAAGAATCAAAGTGATTTTCAATGTTGGTTTAATTCATAATCATACAGAATGCCATTTACAGTAGGAATATTATTTTAACATCTTTCTTCAAAGACTCAAAAACATTAGTTTCTTAAATGACTGTAATACCCATAAAACTTTGATTTAATCTAGGATTGCTACAATGTATGTCTTGCTTAATTTCGCGACATAAGTTAATGTTGCCTGCTCAACAAAAACCTTGCAATAATTTCTGAATTCACAATTCTGTATTGAATTCACATAAAAGTATGATACAACCACAACCAATATACAGAAAAAGATATTTTTCAATTTGTTGTACCCAACAGCGTATTCATTTCTTTCAAGCGAAAATGAGAAAGTTCCTCTATTTCATTTGAATTTTCAAGTATAGCTTCCAATCTTCTAGCTAATTCCTGTGCTTTTTCTTTTTGGCCACTCCCTTTAAATACATTAATGAGTCCTTTCACAGCAAGAAGTTCATGAAAGTTTAATGGTGATTTTTTAACATCAAATGTAGCTTGAAGGATACCTTCTGGGGCAACTTTTAGGAACTTTTCCTTTGCCTCTTCAAATTTCTTGAGAGCAAGGAAACATTCTCCCATTCTAAGGTCAACGCCAGTTTGCCTATGACTATATTCAGAGGACAATTTTTCAAGTTGAACATTACACTGATGTAATCTTTCACTGATTTCTTTCTTCTTCTCTTCATTTTCATCGGAAATTAAATGTGCCATTGCTGTGTAACATCTCACAAGTCTTTTCAGACAAATCTTTCTGTGCTGTAAACTCTCATGACCAGATTTAATAACCCCAAAACTAAAATATGATGCAGTGGATTCTTGCAAGTCTTTGAATCTTGAAGCAGCATTGTCCAGATGTTGCACAGTTTTAAGACCAAGGTTTGCTCTGTCATCAAAAATCTGTTCCAATGTCCCACTCAGCTCTGTCAACATGACATATAAAATATCAGGAAGATCCAATTGTTTGCATTCTTCAGCTACTTTAACCCCAAATTCTTTAGCTAAAAACAATGCATGAGCAAAATCCCTTGCTGTTTTATAATCAACATGATCTCCAAGATAAAATACTCGTCTTCCAAATGTGTAAAAGACTTGGATAAAAAGTTCATACAAAAACAGCTCTCCTAGGTGATTGTCTGCAGGTATTGCAAGATGATTTTTACAAAGATGATCATATTCACCTTTTGTGAGTGTACATTCATTTGCCAAGTTGTGTCCAAGGAAACCTTGAAGAAGTTCAATATGTTCCTGACTTCTGTATGTATTAAGATTATAATCTAAAGCCATTTTCTTTAACAGTTCCATGTTAGCTGGGACAGAAATAACATTTTTCAGTTTTTCAAATACTATTTCAGCCTCACGTTTAGCAAACTTCTCCCATGTTTCATAATTTTCATCCCTAACACATGTTTTGGAAACAAGTTCTTCTATTTGGTCTTCGTCCATCCCTGTTATAGCGAAACAGGATTGTTTGGCAGCAGTAGAATGCTCACCAGCATTTTTCAGCATACCAAAAAAGTTGTATGTGTATCCAACCAAGTCATACACATAAGCTACAAGAATATTTAATTCAAAGTCTTTAGAAAGCTCTGGGATTTCATTTTTCAATGTTTCATAATGGCGAATAACTAAAATGGCATGGGGTAGGAGATCATGATTTCTTTTGTAATCTTTCTCATTGATATTGTCCTTATCTAAGAGCCACATTAACGCCTTGAGAACATTTTTAAGAAGACGAACCTTATCTTCTTCTGAAGTATACCAATCAATTGTCCTTGTAACTGCCAGATGAGTGCAAATATATCTATCATCGTCCTCACCTCTTAAATAGCCAAAGGAGAATTTTTGAATTGCTTCTATGAAGCTCTCTGGATTTAATGCTTGATCTTCACTCCCCTCTTTTGCTGGTAAGAACTGGAAAAATAGAATCGGAATATCCTCTAACGACAAAAACTGTAGAATAAGTACCATATCAAAAACTTCTTCAACTTCATCTTTCTTGAGAATATTCAAAAACTCTATTAACACTTCATAAAGTTTTCTGTTTGCTGAAGAAGATGTCAATATTCTGTCTATTAAAATTATAGACTTTCTACCTCTAAATGTTTTCAAAAAGCCTTTTGGTGTTAGCCTATGGGAAATCATTCTTGTTTTCACCCCATACATTGCCAAAGGCAGACAACTTAGGTATTTTGCTAATTCTTTATAATCTTCAACTTCTTCTGATGTTAAATCATCTTTTCTTTTCAGGAATTCAATTGCCTCATCTTCAGTGAAACCATTTACTGCAATATGGTTGGTTTCATCAAAGAAAGCTTGATTCCATGTTGTTGCGATTACTTTAACATTGAATTTCAAAAAGGAATTTTTAAACTTTTCAACTGCATGTTTTGTTTTATCTGTAACGTCATCAAATATAATCAAATGCTCTATGGATGGATCTTTCTCTTGTAATTCCCTTATGATTAATTCATTTATAAGGTCTAATGACTCCTCATTTGAAATGCTTTCATTTTGTTTGCTTTCCTTCTTCAGGCCAAGGCCATCTGCCATTTTTTTCAGCGAGTTAAGAAGAATTACCATATCTTGGCAGGATATCCTCCAACAAATTCCACTTTTGCAAGATTGTCTTTTCTTACAAGCATGTTTTAAAGCCAACTGTGACTTGCCAGAACCAAGTAAACCTTAAAAATCGAAGAAAAAACTTAAGATTTTGTTCAAAATTTGTTTCTTCAGTATTCTGTGTCTCTGGTTAAAGTGATAAATTTCTGTCAACATCATTTTATCTGATCATAGTTTATGTTAAAATGCATAAAACAATTATGTCCAAACATAATTCATGATGTTATTTCATTCAGAAAACTGTTCAAGAAAAAAATTGAGTCATGAACTTCAATGAATGTTAATGATTTGAACTGCTTTATAAACAAGTTTGATTGATTGGTGATAAACACCACTTTCAAAACTATTGGCTACTTTGTGGCAGTCAGTTTTTATTGGTTGAGGAAGCTTGAATGCCCGGCTAGAACACCACTTTACAACGGGGGCCAGGCCTCTACAATAACTTTTTTTTCAACTTGCCCAATAGGACAAGTACATACCAAGACTTACTTGTCCAAATGGAATTGTAACTTGTCCAAATGGAATTGTAACTTGTCCAAAAAAACCTTTATATTAACCTTTTTTGCATTTTAGGTTGACTCAAAGAACAAAATGAATTAAAACAGTAGAACAGAATTTGATTTATATCTCTTTATATCCTTTTCAAAAACATGAGTCAAGAACAACCGAATCTAGTCATGTCTAGTCACAGGACTTAGGTTCCAGTTTTCATCAATGCAAAAGTCTCATCAGACTCTGCACATAAGGCACAGTCTGTTAGACCTGTCAGTCTACACTCATTTGGTTTGTATCCTGGTCTTTTATGTTGATAAAATATTGATTATTATGTTTAATGCCTTACTACAATCAGCTTTGTTTTTAATATATTAAAATGTTTATTCAAACACAATCAAATACTGTTTGTCGAAATATGATCAAATATGATTTTCTGAATTCTATGGTCAATAATTTCTTCATTTTTATTTTTAAAATATTTTTGTTAAATAAAAATTATCCTATATTTATTATAAAGCAACAGAATAGTAGGGAAACAAGGTACTGGTATGTCTTGGGGTGCCAAACTGTCTATTAAACATGGGGCCGATTCTTTCCATGCCAGTGCCAAACAGTCTTGTTACCTTTTATACAAAGCGCATTGCTGATTCCGATTGGTAAGACTGGTTTCCGAGAATATGCCTTTTATATGTCATAAAGTATCTGACAAAGAACCAGTTTTAAATTATCGTTCGCAAGTAAACATGTCAAATTTATATTTGTTTTTATCTTTTCTTGTTTTTTGTTTATTACTTTGATCATCAAAGTTGGATATTATTTATTTTCTACAGAATGATTTTACTTGTCCCGTTGGACAAGCTTGATATGGCTTTTACTTGTCCGACCTTTTTTTCCTCTGGTACCAGACAATCGGACAAGCCTTATTGTCGAGCCCTGCGGGTTCCTTGAAAGTTTGAAGAATGTTCATTAATTTTGTTGATGATGAATTGAATGTGAATTATACAAGAATGATCATAAATAATTTGTAAAAAATTGTATCAGGATAATTTTTGGAGGAATGTTGATAATTTAAACAAAGTTTTTGAATGATTTTACATGAATCCAATATTGAAAAAAAGTATTTCTTTATTTTTAGAACTTGTATTCGATTCAAAGAGACAAATTGCCTTATCTTTAACATTCAAACAAGTGCATCCTGACCAATCTGTATGCAGAATTTTATGATAATATGCAACTTTTTTAATATGCACTTATTCCTAAATAATCATGCACACATTGTGCACCCATAAAACTGTTTTACACCACCACATATTGTGCCTGTAAATACATACTGTAAACCAACCAATTTTCGCAAGCCATTTATTTTTACCACTTTTGTGAATAGAAAAATAACATGAATTTAAATCGTCGTGACTATGTGAAACTTTGGTCTACCCTTATATCAATATATCAAGAAAATTAGAAAATCAGAAAAATAAATCGAATCAAAGTCGGCTAGGGAAGGCTTAACATGAAAATAAAGTATTCACGAAAATAAGTTAGTTTACAGTTTCTGGACCATGCGTTTTCTTTGTTTGTATGTCTGTTTTTATGAGGAGTCAGTAGTTACCCAATATTTTTGTTTCATTATATCTGTTTTCCTTTATATATTATGTTACACTTTATAAAAAGAAACATTTGATACTTGCATTAGGGATATTATAATTACCTGACAATGTGATGAATTTTGTGGTTGCCATTTTTTCCTCTAATTCTATCAGCTTACTTGTTTCCATGAAATGTTCAACTACCATATCTTCCTTTATATTACATGGCCCTGAAATGCAGAACAATATAAAAATAATGAGATGTGGTATGATTGTCAATGAGACAACTATCTACCAGTTTTAAATGAAGTAAATGTAATCAATTATCTGCAACCGTACCGCCTTCAACTATGACAAAAACCCATAGCATATAGTCCACTATAACAGGCCTTGACATGAAAAATTAATGTGAAACAATTCAAACAAGAAAACTAAAGACCTAATTTATAATAAAATAACTTACAAAAAAAAACACATACAACAGACATGAACCAACACCAACCACTGAACTACAGGTTCCTGACTTGGAACAGACTCACAAAGAATGTACATGGCGTGTTAAACATGTTTGTGAACGCTTAACCCTCCCCTAAGGCCTAACCTGGAACAGTGGTGTAACAGCACAATGTAAAATCAAACTGTAAAAATAAGTTGCAAAGCAAGTGGAATAACAATTTTGGCTTTGTTGACATATTTGTTAATAGTGTCCAGCTGATCATTTTTACTGTTTATAGTTTTTCTATCATAAATAGTTTTTCTGCCTAAACACACATAAGAAAGCATAAAAGTGTCATTCAAGGGCAATTACTCCTATAAGAAGTCAAATGACAATTTTGGTTGCGTTGACTTATGTGTTGATCTTGTTTAGTTGATCATTTTTGCTTATTGACAGTTTCTCTATCTCTTAAATAGTTTTAAAGATATTAGGCAAAAATGAAAAAAAACATTGATTCCATTTAAGGGGAATAATTCCAATAAGGAGTCATCTGACCATTTTAGTCATTTTTCTTATTTGTAGAACTTGTCTATTGAGCTTTCAATCTACCATGGTTAGTTGTGTTAAAAAATGGCAGGAACTCAAATTTCATTATTAAAATTTCAACAATGCTGAGTTGGATGAAATACTTTAATAGTCTTTTTTATTTTAGCATGCATAATATCTTTCTATGTTGTGATGTTACACTATTGTTTCAGAAAAAGGGTGAAGGTTTGGTACCATTAAAACGTTTAAACCTGCTGCATTTGTTTGCACCTGTCTTAGGTCAGGAATCTGATGTTCAGTAGTTGTCGTTTGTTGATGTTGTTCATAAGTGTTTCTCGTTTTTTATATAGATTAGACCGTTGGTTTTCCCGTTTGAATGGTTTTACACTAGTAATTTTTGGGGCCCTTTATAGCTTGCTGTTCGGTGTCAGCCAAGGCTCCGTGTTGAAGACCGTACTTTGACCTATAATGGTTTACTTTTATAAATTTTGACTTGGATGGAGAGTTGTCTCATTGGCACTCATACCACATCTTCTTATATCTATAATAAAAATTCGTAAGGGTTCCACGGAACCCAGTGTCTTGCCTACTTTTTCTGTTAATCGCAGGCTCAACAAAAATGAGGAAGTAAATCAATAAAAATATTCCTCTAAATACTATCTTTTGATTGTAAGAAGCTTCTGTCCAAGTTTGGTAAAAATCCAGGATAGTTTATGAATCTAATAAATGTTTAAAAACTTTAACTGCAGACTGAATGTAATGTTAACTGGAAGAAAACAAAATTTCCTTCTAGATACTAGCATTTGATCATAAACAAGCTTCTGTTAAAGTTTGGTACAAATCCAAAATACTATAAGAAAGTTATTAAAATTTTAAAAACTTTAACCACAGAGTGAATGTGTTGTTTCCTGGCAGAAAATCTAAGTCCATTTAAAAGTAAAATACGCAAAAAATGGATTTATTATTTTACAAAATTTCCTTCTAGATACTATCTTATGATCTTAAACAAGCTTCTGTCCAAGTTTGGTAGAAACCCAGGATAGTTTAAGAAAGTTATTAAAGTTTTAAAAACTTTAACCACAGAGTGAATGTAATATTTCCCGGCAGAAAAACTAAGTCCATTTATAAGTAAAATACGGAAAAAATGGAATTTTATTTTTACAAAATTTACTTCTGGATACTATCTTATGATCATAAACAAGCTTCTGTCCAAGTTTGGTAGAAATCCAGGATAGTTTAAGAAAGTTATTAAAATTTCAAAAACTTTAACCACAGAGTGAATATTTGTGGACGCCGCCGACGACAACGACGACGCCGACGGAATGTAGGATCGCTATGTCTCGCTTTTTCGACTAAAGTCGAAGGCTTGACAAAAATGCAGAAATTCACAAAAACAGCATCGGGATACTATTAATCTTTCTGGTCACTGTTTTGTACTATTTGAAAGGAAGAAAACATGTGGCACCAAAGAGTGGCTTGAACGGTATTGATAATAACATGTTTTGATTGATGAACATTAACTTGAGTAATTACTTTGAATTACTAACATTTATCTGGGTAATTATTTTGAATTACTAAAAATATTACTAGCAATTACTAATGTATGAATTAATATTACTAGGAATTCTTAAATTGATTACTCAAAATTACTGAAATGGAAATTTACTGGTAAACAATACAGTAGCAAGGGTGGATAATAAAGCATCCAAATTTAACGTGTTGTTGTCGCAACATTGTTAATGAAAAGCAACCAAAATTCACATAAAAATCACTAACATCATCAAATTGGTTATGTGAAGTTGAAAGTATATGCAAAGTAACATGTTGTATATATGAACAAGGGGAATTTTCTGCCGGGGCATACAATTAGTTGAAAATGAAATCAGTTTACTTTTCTGCCATCTATAAATTTGTATATGACAGTTATTCATATAACGTATTAATCTCGGGGGAACCACTTCCTATATACTAGATGAAAGAACATGCCGCTGGAATAGGTCACATTTTCCAGCTTAAAAATATGTGAACAGGTGAGAAAAACTATCAGAAATATATGATAAGGTCAATAAAGTTCCCATTACTTGCTATATGAAAAAAGCCCTGTAATTTTTCCACAGTCGAAAGTCATCTTTCTTGATGTTTCCGCTGGGTTTTAATACACAAATTTTCAATTTTTTGACACTTTGGTATTCATGGTATTCCACTATTCAAACATGTCACACGAAACCCAACCAATATGGGAAAAGGTTACATTTTTACCTACACAATATATGAAATTGTATACATTTTTAAAATCTAAATTATATGAAAAGGGTAGGGTAACAGAACCCAAGTGGCACCCCTATCAAATAAGTATTGAAGTGCTTTTTCAATATAACATACATATGATACATGATGGTTATTTTTCTTTACATATTTCAAAAGTGCATAATAAAATTGTCTTTGTGTCAAATTTTAAGGAAAAATTAATAAGAGATATTTCTCTATTGTATGCCCTTAAAATCTCCTAATAAATTTAATTTACTTATCTTTACTATTCATTCCTAATAATAACTACCCATGATTAACAATTTTGACAAATTCAATTACCTTTTATTAGTAAGTCAATGTAATTTTTTTAAGAGTGCAGTCTTTTTTGTGTGTGCTGTTTTTAAAGATATAAATGCAGATGATATAAATATTAATAAACTTCCAATTTACCATCTTTAGCTGTTGATAATGCCTCTTTATTTTTTTCCTTAAAGTTTTCTATCAAATCTACACATGGTTGCAAGTGCATTGCTGTAAGCATTTCAATCAATAGATCTGTTTTAATTGGAGACAAGACACCATATTTCTTCATCACACCAAAAAGATCCTTGCCATCCTCTGCTGTTTTTAAATCTTGACTTGGTATTTTTTCGTCCAAATAAAATTTGAGCTGTACTACATCCTCTGAAAAGTTTTATACTTTATGGATAAGTAATTGACGAATGTACAATTATAATTGGTTAACAAAAATCAGTCTATTATATGTCACCAAAAAAACTTACATACATGATTTTTTTTATTAGTTGTTATTGGCTTTGAACTAGCTATCAGTAACTGCGAGTACTCTCAGATCTGTACTTAGTGTCTTTTTGTTGTGGGGATGTAAAAGTACCCTGCAACGTCCACTCTGTGTTTTTGTTAGATGTATTGCTGCTTTGTATCCATCTGATGAGTTAAGCCCTTTTCAACTGATTTTTATAGTTTGTTTTTATGTTGTACTGTTACACCACTGTCCCAAATTAGGGGAGGGTTGGCGCCTCCAAACTTGTTTAACCCCGCCACATTCTGTAAGTGCCTGTCCCAAGTCAGGAGTCTGCAATTCAGTGGTTGTTGTTTGTTGCTGTATATCATATTTGTTTTTTGTTCTTTATTTTGTACATGAATCAAGTCGTTAGTTTTATTGTTTGAATTGTTTTACATTTGTCATTTTGGAGCCTTTTATAGCTGACTATGCAGTATGGGTTTTACTCATTGTTGAAGGCCGTACAGTGACCTGTAGTTGTTAATTTCTGTGTCATTTGGTCTTTTGTGGAGAGTTGTCTCATTGGCAATCATAACACATCTATATGTACAAGCTGATCAATACTTCATAAAACTGTATTAAAAAGAGCTTGCAGTAACAACTATGGAATGTGAAAATCATCAAAACTCAAACCACTTTCTTAAACTAGAGGCTCCAAGGACCCTGTGTAGCTTACCTGATATTTTTATTTACAATTGATGCATGATATAATGCAACCATCATACTTTTGCTTTAGTTTCAGAGATATAAGCCAAAAACTGCATTTTACCCCTATGTTCTATTTTTGGCCATGTCAGCCATGTTGGTTGACAGTTGGGGTCATCGGACACATTTTTCAAACTAGATACCCAAGTGATGATTGCTGCAAAGCTTGGTTAAATTTGGCATATTAGATTCAGAGGACAAGATTTTTGTAAAAGATTACCAAAATTTACGAAAAATTGATTAAAATTGACTATAAAGGGCAATAACTCCTTATGGGGTTAACTGACAATTTTGGTCATGTTGACTTATTTGTAGATATTACTTTGCTGAACATTATTGCTGTTTAAAGTTTATCTCTTTGTATAATAATATTCAAAATAAAAACCAAAAACTGCAATATTTCCTTAAAATTACCAATTCAGGGGCAGCAACCCAACAACGGGTTGTCCGATTCGTCTGAGAGTTTCATGATATATAGATCTTGACCTGATAGACAATTTTTACACCATGTCAGATTTGCTCTAAATGCTTTGGTTTCAGAGATATAAGCCAAAATCTACATTTTACCCCTATGTTCAATTTTTAGCCATGGCGGCCATCTTGATTGGTTGGCTGGGTCATCGGACACATTTTTTAAACTATAGATACCCCAATGATGATTGTACACAAGTTTGGTTTCATTTGGCCCAGTAGTTTCAGAGGAGAAGACTTTTGTTAAAGTTAACGGACGACGACAACGGACGAAAGACGACAGACGCCAAGTGATGAGAAAGCTCACTTGGCCCTTTGGGCCAGGTAAGCTAAAAAGGGTTCAATTTTGAAGTGAATGGCTCAAGGCAAAAGAGGAGGTATGATATGAGCCATTATTAAGCCCCTGAAATTGTAAAAATCAATTAACTTTTTCAAGATTTTCAAATTTTGTTTATTTTATAGATTCAAATAAACAGGTTAATGTAATCTGGACACTTTATTGCAAAACAGTGGCATGTGATGTCACTATGACATAAACATGTTGAAGTTTATGTACTTGACCTTAAATGGTCTTTTCCCAAAATTTGTTTTTGGTCAAAATAAATATGATCAACAGCTTTAACCAAAAAGATATTGTACATACATTCTAAACATCTTTGTAAAATACATTTTGTATCAAATTATATCTTTTGGTAAAGCTGTTGCTAATATCTAAAATAGTGACAATGTCTCAAAATGAAGCTATTTTGGCAATTTTTGCTGTTTTGGGTGTTATGGGGTAAAATAATTTACCCTGTATCGTAGGAAAAAAACCAAGGTGTCCGAACATCTGACAAAAATTCCTAAACCTGACCTAAGTACATCCTTAAGAAGGCATTTAATCAGAAGCAAATAAAATGGCTCCATAGAAAAACATGCAAGAGGTTACTCTTAGGCATATAAGAATAGTGTCAATTATGACTGTTAAAAGTCCAATTATTCTGGAATGACATATCAGAAAATTTTCAAAATCAAAGAGGACATTCACCAATCCCAACAATTACAGTGTTAACTTTGTAGTAATTCGATCCAAGCATACTATATATGCATGACATTTAAAAACTACTGTTTATTTATCTCACGGTCAAAGTCCCATAACTCTGGAATGACAAATTGAAATATTTTAAATCTAACAATGTGTTATGTTCATCAATTCCAACAATTATGTATCAATCCAAGCAAACTTAAGTTATGATACAACATGTGAAAGATTTACTTAAATATGACAATTAAAATCCTGCAACTCTGGAACAGAAAAACAGAAAATTTTAAAAATCAAAAGGGTGTTTTCTTTTATCAATCCACACAATAATGAAAAGTTTTGAGGAGATCAAACCAGGAGTTAGCAAGTGAAAAATTGCCTTAATTCAAACCGTTAATGCTCCGTAACTTAGGAACGATAAAGCAAACAATTTTTAAAATCAACAGGGAGCTTTCTTCTGTGAATCCTAATATTGTGTTAAATAACATGAGAGTTAGTTAAAACAAATTTGAGGTATCCTACAAAGTGTTGACCAATGGATGGACAGACATTGGTATACCATAATATTTCAAGTCTTTGACGGGTGTGTAATAAAAAATATAAATACTGATGTCCAGCAGACTAATGTCTTATGAACAGTTGATGGTTTTATAATACTTTTTGATTTTCAAATTCAAGGGGCCAAAAAAGTGGCATTTTCATACCTTTTCCTTTGTTTTTAGTGTGGGACATTTTGAACATTGCTTGTTTTTAAAGATTAAAGTTCTATATTTCTTGAAGAATAAAAGTGAAAATTGTTACGACAAAAGTAAACATATCCTTAGACTTAGTCTTCGTTGAATGGCTACATTTTGCCAACAATAGATGTCGTTTTAGGTAAAAGATGTTGTTTTTAGTAAAAAAAAAAGTTACTGTTCACTAATTATACCCTCTTTAAGTTTTTGGTAAAGAGGAAATTGAAGAGCAAAGGAATGAAAATGCATCACACTGTATAGCATGCTCACATGAATCTTGATACCAAATTGCAGGGGTTTTTGAGTTGTAGTTCTTGCAAAAATGAGACAAAATATTCATAAATAGTCAGTATTTGTAGAAATATACAGTCAAGTTGATATTAGTGATGGATATGAAAACACATTATACAAAATAACATTCTCACACAAAGCTTGTTACCAAAATCAGGATGCCAAAATTGTTGGTTCCTGAGAAAAATTTGTGACATGCCCATTTAGAATCTAAATAATTCCTTCCTTTCATGCTCTATACTCATTTTAACATGGGTAGGCATTATATTTGTCGATATTTTACACTGAGCGTTAATTATAAAAAAAGTAATAAAATGATGTAGTTTTCTGTGTTATTACCTTTCAGCAATTTGTCACTGATCTTTGATAGAAGAAGTTGGAAATCCATTTCAGATTGAGATATCTCTAATAACTGAAAATACATAATTATGCAGTTGTTATGATTACCAAATGTATAATATAAAATAAACTGTTGACACAGAGATATGTCTCACCTTTTTGTAATTTTGATAGTATAATGCAAATATTGAATCCAAATGGCAATATTTAAACATGTAAACTATGCAAAACAATCGAAGTCAATGAACCATGATTTATTGGGCAGGACCAAATAACCCAATGAGAAATGCCAATGCTTATAAAACTGCATATCAAATATCATTGACTTATAAGTGGTTCCCGTTACAATAAGCTAAACACAAACTTTAATTTGTAAACAATGCAATAGTTTCAAAGTTACTAAACCATGCTGAGGGTGGGGTGGGGCTATATAATCAGCATGGAAAAGAGACTTACAAATGCTTATGTAACAATTAACTGCATACTAGTAATATAAGTGGTTCCTCTTAAAACTGATCTAATCACAAACTTAACATGTAAACTATGCAAAACATTCAAAGTCAATAAATCATGACTGATGAGGGGGCTGAGCCAAATATTTTCCATGGAAATAAGATGTGCCAATGCGAATAGTTCTATATACTAAATATTATTGACCTACCACTAGTGATTACCCTTAAACTGACCTAATCACAAACTAATACATGGAAAGAAAGCAAAAGTTTCAAAGTCAATAGACCATGACTGAGGGGGTGTGGCCAAATAATCTCCATGGAAATAAGATGTGCCAATGCTAATACAACTGCATACCAAATATCATTGACCTACCACTAGTTGTTCCCCATAAACTGACCTAATCACAAACCGATACATTGTTGACAACGCTACCACCTCCGTTGCAAACAGCATACCTAGGTCTTGCTTTTTGACTCCATCAAGGCAAGACAACAAAAATAAAAACGGAGAATGTGTCCCCATGGACACAGATGATGCCCCCGCTTGCATACAACATTATAAAGGGACATAACTCAAGAACAATAAAAGTGACGCTACCCAAATTTGTACTTGATCTTAGTTTTGTCGTACTAAGTATTGTGTACAGGTTTCATAATGTTTGGTTGGGGCAAACTTAAGTTACAGAACGGAAACTAAAAATTTTGCAATTTTTCGATTTATAAAGGGGCATAACTCAATAATGGTTAATGTGACACTACCCAAATTCAACTTGATCTGTGTTTTATCAGTGGAAGGCAAAATAAAACATTGCATTGTATAAAGCATTGATTGTAGTTGATTCAACTATAATCATGGACAAAGGAAAGATAACTCCAATTTTAAAAATTACTTGACCAATGACATCATTGATATTTTTAGAAAAAAAAATAAAATTTAGCAATTTTTCCATTTGAAAAGGGGCATAACTCTAGAACAGTAAAAGTGACGCCACCAAAATTCAAACTGGAACTGTGTATTGTGGTAATAAGCATTGTGTATTAGTTTCATAACATTTGGTTGAGGCAAACTTAAGTTAGAGAACGGAAATGAAAATTTTTGCAATTTTTCCATTTATAAAGGGGCATAACTCATGTTATTCTAGAACGGTTAAAGTGACGCCACCAAAATTCAAACTTGATCTGTGTTTTATGGTAATAAGCATTGTGTATGAGTTTGATAACATTTGATTGAGGCAAACTTAAGTTAGAGAACGACAACCAATTTTGGGACGTACATACGTACGGACAGAAGGACAAGGGTAAAACTTAATGCCCCCTCCACTGGGCACAGCTTGATACGACCGCAGAGGTCGAACCCTGAACAGTTGGGGCAAGTATGGACACAACATTCAAGCTTGATACAGCTCTGAATTTGGATTGTTATTAAATATTTGACACAGCATAGGTTTCTGACACAGAATGAATGTGGTCTAAGAACTTAAAAATTTTTAATTTACCTATTATGGTCCAATATCCAAAATCTAAATATATATACGGTTAGATTCAGCATATCAAAGAATCCCAAGAATTCAATTTTTGTTAAAATCAAACTAAGTTTAATTTTGGACCCTTTGGACCTTAATGAAGACCAATTTGAAAACGGGACCAAAAATTAAGAATCTAAATACACGATTAGATTCAGCATATCAAAGAACCCCAATATTTCAATTTTTGATGAAATCAAACCATATCATTATTATTTGCTTTTATATATAAATCAAAAATAACCAACTTAAAATGGAAAATTTTAAAGAAAACCAAAATTTTGCGGTCGTATAATAATTTGTCGGCACTGATTTTTGAACTCTTCAAGTACATTGCTAATACTTACCTAAGATTTAAGTTTCATAAAATTCTGGCAAGAATTGTACATATGTGAGTGCTAACGATGCAATTTTCCATAAAATTAATGTTTCCAAGGGGCATAACTCTTTTAAAAATAATTGATCAGCACTGATTTTCCTAATCGTCTAAGACATTGCTAATATAAACCTATGATCATGATGATATAAGTTTCATAAAAATCTGGGAAGAATTGTACAATTGAGAGTGCTAACAATGCAATTTTCAATATAATTAATGTTTCCAAGGGGCATAACTCTTTTAAAAATAATTGATTGGCACTGATTTTCTAACTTGCCCAAGACATTGCTGATATAAAACTATGATATAAGTTTCATAAAAATCTGGCAAGAATTGTACATGTAATCGCTAACAAGACCGGACTGCAGGACGAACAGACAGATGGACGCCCGGTATTTCTATGTCCCCCGTAACGCGTTGCATGGGGGACAAAAATTGATACTGTATAATGAAATATTTTGGTGGCTGTAAAAATTCATTCAACTTCAATCGCTACACATATTCATGTGCCTGTCAGTTATATATATATATATAGATAAAAGAAGATGTGATATGTGTGCCAATGAGACAACTCTTCATCCAAGTCACAATTTGAAAAAGAAAACCATTATAGGTCAAAGTAAGGTCTTCAACATGGAGCCTTGGCTCACACCGAACAGCAAGCTATAAATGGCCCCAAAAATGACTAGTGTAAAACCATTCAAACAGGAAAACCAATGGTTTAATTTATATAAAAAACGAGAAAGGAGAAACACTTATGAACCACATCAACAAACGACAACCACTGAACATCAGGTTTTTGACTTAGGACAGGTACAAACAAATGCAGTGGGTTTAAAGGTTTTAATAGGTGCCAACCTTCACCCTAACCTGAAACAACAGTGTAACATCACAACATAGAAAGACACACTATAAAATATCAATTGCAATGGCTTAACTCAATCAAAAGACATATTAACAATAACGTTAGAGTGCGAAAACTAATGTGTCTTCGGACGACGACGACACCGGACGACGACGACGCCGCCAACCTCATACCAATATACAATTTTTTTTGCGGTCGTATAAAGACAAGTGAACATACACTGAAGGAATAAATTTGATATGAATGTTTTTGGTTTAGCAAATTTGAAGTTGATGGCAGATCTTTGATAGTCTCTGTTAATCACAAATTTTCAGGACTTGAGACGATTTAGAGCTTGATTTTGATTGATATTTGTCTGTTGTTATCATGGTTATAAAAGAGCAAATATTTACCTCTGTCTTCAAGATCTTTGTGTTGCTGCCTCATATTGACATATATTTTTTTTTTACCTCTCACACCTCTGTATTAAGGATGTTTGCTGCTCTTTATTTTTACTTTTATGACATTATAATATTCAGAATCCTTTAGTTTTATCCATGTAGTCCCATACAAAAATTTGCCCGCTTACTCGTACTTTTCTTTTCAAAATTTAATTCTATATAGTTTTAAAAGCCAATTTTGAAAATCTTATAAAATCCTTGTTATTTTTTATAGCTTTTGAAAGAACAAAGGTACCAGTGCTAAATGTATGAATAGTCTAGAGAGAATCATTTCCCGCCAAATTTTCAATTGCTTATATCTCAAAAACAAGGACATAGACCTTTCAATTTTTTTCAGCTTTTTAAGTTCAGTTATTTATATACTATCAATTCATTACAAACTTTTAAAAAGTTTGTTATTTTTAAACAGAGAAGCAAACATCCTTAAATGAATATCAAGTGATTTGTAATTTAAATAATGTTGTGTTTTATTAAAATCAAGATCTAGAACTGTCAGTTTTATTAAACAATAAAAATATACATACAATAACTTTTACGAAAGTTGAAGAATTCTGTGTTTATTTATTTTTTTTTCTGTTATTTTATACATGTATTTTGATTAAATTTTTGATTGTTTTGATTTATTTCAAGCTGTTGGTTTTTCTGGTTTGAATCGTTTCATATTCTGTTACATTGGGGCCTTAAGTAGCCATCTACAAAGTATGGGTTTTGCTCATTGTTGAAGGCCATAGGGTGACATATAGTAGTTAACATCCACATTATTTGAACTCTGGTGGATAGATGTCTCATTGGCAATCATACCACATCTCCTTATTTTTATGTACTTCACTGTGAGTACTAACTCATTTCTGTGATGTTAAAAAAATTCTATTCCATTTACATTATTTTATTGATAAACACTAGTAAGCTAAATCTGATTTAGAAAAGGAAGTCAGCCTAATGCCATTATGAAAACTAGAACTTACAGTTACTTGCCAACATTTAATTTTTTTCTGTCAATTCTTGCAGGTTACCCTCTTGTTCATTTTAATATACTAAAAACAGGATAACTTGTCAAGTTGTGTCATGTGAGCTGCATACATATAACTTGAACTTTTGCATCATGTTGTTAATCTGAAATATGAATAAATAATAAGCATTGTGTATAAGTTTCATAACATTTGGTTGAGGCAAACTTAAGTTAGAGAACGGAAACTAAAAATTTTACAATTTTTCCATTTATAAAGGGGCATAACTCTAGAACGGTTAAAGTGACGCCACCAAAATTCAAACTTGATCTGTGTTTTGTGGTAATAAGCATTGTGTATAAGTTTCATAACATTTGGTTGAGACAAACTCAAGTTAGAGAACGGAAACCAATTTTGGGACGTACGTACGTACGTACAGACGGACAAGGGTAAAACTTAAAGCCCACACCGCTACGGCGGGGGCATAAAAACAAAATTATTAAATTGGCTTGGTAGAAATCATGCTTTATCCTACACTCCAATATTGGCTAAGTACTGTATTTCAGGTTATAAGAAGATGTAGTACTAAAATTTACCCTGTATTCTTAATTACAATAGAAGAACAGAGTTCCAATGTCCTCTGTCATGTCTGTATTGCACATATTTTATCTGTCCAAGGGCAATAACTAAGAATTTCTTTTGTTTTGTTCCTTAAAACTTTTTCTATATATCATAAAGATATGTAGGTGAAAGCCCTAACAATGCAATCTGCCATATAATTAATATTTCCCAGGGGGTATAACTCTTTCTTGGCAATATTTAAAAGATAGTTGATAGGCATTGATTTTTGAACTTGTTGGAATTTCTGATATAAACCTTTGATATAAGTTTGATAAAAATCTGGCAACCAGTATACAGGTGAAAGGGCTCAAAATGCAACTTTCCATATAATTAATATGTTCAAGGGTCATAACTCTTTCAAAAATAGTTGATTGGCACTGATTTTTGAATTTTCCGAGACATTGCTGGTATAAACCTTTGATATAAGTCTGAAAAAAATCTGGCAAGAATTGTACACTTGAAAGCGCTCACAATGTGATTTTCTATATAATTAATATTTTCAAGGTAAATCAAGAACTCTTTTAAAAATAGTTGATTGGCACGTCCCTGTTGTCCACTGATTTTCGAACGTGTCCGAGACATTGCTGATATAAACATCTGATATAAGTTTGAAAAAAAAAATCTGGTAAAGAGTGCTTTCAATTTTCCATATAATTAATAGTTCTAAGGAGCATTCCACTTCTAAAAATAATTGATCAGCACTGATTTACAAACTTGGTTGAGACATTGCTGATATAAGCCTCTGATATAAGTTTGATAAAAATCTTGCAAGAATTTTACATGTGAGAGCACTTACAAGATCGGACAGATAGACACAACAAGTGACTGACGGATGCCTGGTATTTCTATGTCCCCCCTCAACGCCTTGCATGGGGGACAAAAACGTAAAAATACTGATTATATACAGTATTCCATCCAATATTTCCTGTGGAAACATCATACACAACAAAGAAACAAATAAAAAGTTTAAGATGGACTCTCTTACTGAAGTTTACATAATAATACAAAATATAAAGTTGTATACATTGTATCTTGAGTGTTCAGGTACTTTACTATTATCTAAAGTATACTTGAAAGTTGCATTGATAATTAAAAAACAATAAAGATCAAGAAACTTTGCAAAATATATACAAATTTCTTCATGGTTTCAATTCCTAAATAAAAAAATTATAAATACATGAAATAGAGATGTGCTGTCCCAACTCCCGACTCGATCTATATGTCCAGAGTAATACACAATGGGTCATTAACATATCATATAAACAAAGAACTATTTAAATCTGGTATAATTTTGAATTCTGGAAAATTGATAAGAAATGTATGATGAAAACAAACCCAACTAAATAGGGTCAGCCATGCACGCATGGCAAAGGGGGGTTAGTTAGATCATACTAAAATATCAGTGAAAGTAAACTGAACCTTAGCCATGCCTGCATGCCTAAACCTATTTAGTTGGGTTATTTTTCATCATACATTTCTAATTAATTTTGCAGAATTCAAAATTATTCCATATTCAAATAATTCCTTGTTTATACATGATTTATAGCAATAACTTTTTTTCATTTACTTGAATATTATTTTACTTATATTGATTGGTGTGGTATGTCAATAAAATCATTTGAAGAATTATCATGGAAACAAACCAGAAGAGGGATTTTCCATGTGAGGGTTGATATGGTTCTCCCATTGAATTTGCATGGGAAGGCCATATTGGCCCCCAGGTTTCTATAAAAATAAGGAGATGAGGTATTATTGCCTATGAAACAACTATCCACCAAGATTCAAATGAAGTGGATGTAAGCAATTATAATAGTCAACAGTATGCCCTTCAACAATGAGAAAAACCCATATCGTATACAGGTATAGTCGGCTATAAAAGGCCCCGACATGAAAAATATGAAACAATGCAATTGAGAAAACTAACGGGCTAATTTATAACATACAGTTTATGAAAAACAAGTATGACGGACATGAACCAACGACAACCACTGAATTAAAGGCTCCTGACATGGGATAGGCACATAAAGAATGTGGTGGGGTTAAACATGTTTGTTTAGGCAAATCTGAGTTTATTACACATGATACATATATATATGCAAAACTCATTATTTTTGTAACAAATATGTGATAAATTTAATTACATTATGCAGTTCATCATTTTCATGACTTTACTTTTAAGAACTTGAAAAAAAAAATTCCAACTTAGCCTCAGGGACTATTTGTGACAGGTTTACCTCCTTTTTAAAGAAAATACAAAATCATTAACAGTCAAATTTCAAATGTCTGAGGAAAAAAAATACAGGTTTTCATTTTTTATGCCTTTACAGAATGCCATATATAAAGATCTATTGATGTGTTGAAAGTGAAAGTAGGGCTATATAATATTCCCAACAGGTACTTGTGATCACCTGTATATATCAATTTCATACATGTATTTCATTTCTCTAATTTATAATTGTAGATGGTCTGCTTTTAACAGTCAGGGGTACTACTTGTACAAGTTATTTATATTAATTTGAAAAAGTAAATAATAATATACTTATATAAGTAAATTTGTTATATTCATATTTTCTTATAAGGTTTGAATAATCTCCCCTTAATTTTCTCAAAAAATTTACTTGTATAAGTATTTTTTTTTTACAATCCCTAAAATTCACAAGTTTTGCTATGTAAAAAAATGCCTTAAACAATTTTTCTCTGGTAATTATGAGCTCATAATTTTTGAATAAAGCTCAATGTTTCATCTCATTAATTCAACAAAGAAACTATCTGAGCAAAGATCTTAAGTAATTGCACAAGGCCTTCAAAAATTGCCCCTTGGAGGCTTGTAAATGAGCAGTGTTTTGAATAAATTAGACACATGAGATTTTCATTGTCCATGAAATTACACATAAATGATTAGTAAAGACTTCTGCAAAAGGACAGACAATTAAAAACTCCATTAGAGCAAAGAAGTCCTGAGAAATTCAAGAAAAGAAGATAGTACGACTTTTTTATTTGTATAAGTAAAAAAATCGGAATGTCTAAGGGACATAACTAAGCTATTAAAATAATTTACCTACCGGTATTCAAGTAAATAATGAACACTTGTATAAGTATCTTACAAATTTACTTATATAAGTATATTAATATTTACTTCTTCAAGTAAATAAAAAGAACTTGTACAAGTAGTATATACCCTGACTATTTAAAATGTGTTTTTGTACAAGAATGTATTTAGAATGTAAAACGTGTGCCTTATGTGTCTGACAGCCAAGCTAATAGTCTGTTTGTGTTAGCTAGTTCACATTGTTGAATTGTTGTAATTATAAATGCCACCATGTGTTGAAGAACTGCAGTATTTTATTACCACACCACATATACTTAAATAAAATTTTCATTTTATTAAATTGAAATATATTATAAAGTTCTTCATTAATTAGGATTTGACTGAAATAGCTGTTTTCAAACTGAAATTTTCTCTTGAGTACAGACAAACCTGTGCAACTTGAGAAAACTTAAAAGTCTGGCACCAATTTGATTTGTAAAAGTTACATGCATTTTGTGCTTCAGATTATAAAAACTTTAGTTTACTGGATTTTGGTGCTAAGGGTGAGGATTTTTTCCAGATTGATCACTTATTTTTATCTGTTACTATGCATGAGTGCTTATTTCATTTCCTCGTCCTTGCCACACAGAAAATTAATTTTCATTTTTGTATACATTTGTTTCCAGCATTTTTTTTTTGCAGAATATTCATTTACATCTTGTCTTGTGCAAAAAATCCTGCTGCAAACCAAAATCGGATTTGTTCACTCCCAGAACATGTTCGCAGCCTACACGTTCACTCCCCACACGTTTTTAAGATGTATATATCCAAATATTTATATTTTTATGAATAAAAACTCGTGAATTTTCTAAATGAAATGATGTTTTTGTGATTAGATGATTAATTCTTAAAAGTTAATTATTTATGATAACTGTTATTTTTAATTGGTATTTACAAAGCTAATTTGGTATAATTGTTATGTGTTTGAAAATCATGGTTGTTGTTATAATTATAGCTTTGGTGTAGTTACCCTAAATATTTGATTGCTCTTTTTCAGTTGCTGTTGTGGCAATGTCATTGTGGGGGGGGGGGGTTAGGACCTTTATCGGGACTCCGGGATCGGGTGTTTTTAAGCTCGGGATTTCGGGATTGATCCTTTCGGGATCCGGGAATTCTTTTTTCGAATTTCGGGATGTCGGATTTAATTTTTATTAAATTCGGGACCTCAGGATTCCATGTTTTTAAGCCCGCCCATTGTGACGTCAGTTTAACATGTTTAACAGCCGTTTGATATCTTCCACCTTTATTTTACAAATATTAGATGAGTGAACTTGTCCTTTGATCATCTTGACAATATCTATTATTCATTTCGTCAAAATAATTCACAAAACACTAAAGGAAACCTGTTTATTTTTTAGAAAGTCATTTTATTTTAAAACAATAAAAAAACTTATTTAATATTATCTTTATTTTATAGCAATATCCACCACTCATTTCACAAAACATCTTACGAGAAAAATTCTCTTATGTCATGAACAGTTCTGTATAACATGTATAACTTATGATCAATTTTAGTCATAACATTTTAGTGTGCAAATTTTGAACAATTTCAGTCTGCTTTCTTGGGAGATACAATTCGTTTTAAATTTGATGTCGAAAAAACCTTTGAAATCCGCTTTTTTGTCATATCAGTGACAAAAACCCTATTTCGCATTAATTAGACAATTGTCTGTTGTATCATGTATAATTACATTTGTCATTCTTCTTTTATGATGATGTATATACATGATATAAGATACACTAACTGAAACAAAACCTTTAAAAAGAGTGCGAACGTATATGGTGCAAACATGTTGGGTGCAAACGTGAAAGGGGAATGAACATGATTTTGGGCGAACATACCTGGATTTCTGCAAACCAACGGTTCCCCCCCCCCCCCCCCCCCCCCCCCCCCCCCCCCCCCCCCCTTTTCAAACATGAGTAGATAAAGTCACCTAAACAAGGTAAGACAAGCAAATTACTGTTAAGTATGTTATATGTGGTATAAAAATTCATTGCAAACATCGAAAAAAAAATAGCCTATGAAATCCTGCATGGTATGTGTTGAAAGTGAAAGTAGGACAATTCCTAACCGGTAGGTATACTGATGTGGTGAGATGTGGTTTTTGTCATCTTTCTTTGCAATAAGTCTTTAAAAGTTAACTTCGATATTTCAGTGAAGTAAAATTCTATACGCATAGGTCGAAGTTACTTGCAGCTATGTTGTGTTAGAAAAATCCAAGGATTTAGACTTTTTCGACATTTCTTGAAGTCCTTATCATTTGGGGGAGAGTCTAAAACGAGGAAGTGGGAAAACGCGGAAGTGCAAAATTGGTATACTATAAGTGATTTCTCGGGAACTGCTTAAGATAAATCAACAATTGAAACAGATTTTGAAAGCTTATATGATATTCTATAAGTTAAAATAAAAAAATTAAGATTTTGATATTCATTATTACCAAAAAGTTGACCGGAAGCCTTGTTAAGCGTGACTCTGGCAATCATCCTATTTCGAATCTTTAAACTTAAATTCACGAAAAAATATACCACCCGGTCAAAATCTTAAAAATTAGTTCTAAAGACAATTTAATAACAAAATAAATGGTATACAAATAATTAGCAATACATTAAGTAAAAAAGGCAAAATCTTGACCAGAAGCCTCCCTTGTATATAAAAATGAAGAAGTCAAAATTTTCAACTTTGAACTACGATTCACGAAAAAATATAGAGCCCGGTCAAAATCTGAACATATTTTGTAAAGACAATTTAATAACAAATAATATGGTATAAAAATAATTAGCAATACATTAAAAAAAAAGGGCAAAATCTTGACCGGAAGCCTCCCTTGTTTATAAATGATGAAGTCAAAATTTCAACTTTGAACTAAAATTCACGAAAAATATAAAGGAATAAGATCGAGAAACAACATCCCATGGATCAAACATAAAGAGAGAAAAATGCTAAAGAAAAAACGGAGGCTATACAAACAAGCCAGGAAAACAAACAAATGGTCTAACTACAGGTCTTTATTGTGACAGATATTTGACATACATTTTGGACATAGCTGACGCTGGGAACAGTATATCTAACAGTTAATATATATGTTCCTGGCAAACGTTACAATTATTAATTAAATTTTATTTAAATAAGAAAGGTAATGATTTTGTTAATCACTATTATCAGAGACATATAATACAATGTACTTATAAGATAAACGTATAAATACGGTCTAAAGTGTAAATGACTTGCGGATTTCTCACTAACAAATACAGTTAGGCTAAGTTAGCATAGATGCAGACAGCAACTTCGAAAGAAACCAAATATTAGAAAACAAGTGGCAGAAATATCTTGAATATCTTAACACGGTAATAACAAAATTTGGTATATAATTCGGAAAGATCCGATTGCCAAAAAAAAAAAAACAACAAAAAAACTAAAAAAAAAAAAACTATCTAAATCCAAACCAGATATTGGTTTAAAAAACAATAGGAATATTGGCAACATGTTAATTAATCATTAAGCCGAAGACATTGATTCACAATACCCCACCACGGGAGGCTTTAGTATACAATCATTATACTGTGAAACAGATGTAAAAAGACGTGATGCCGATTTATTTCAAGAGATCACGTACAAGGGAAAACAGAATGGTTCCTGTTATATTCATGCATAGACCCGACATGGTATCTACACAAACCTCTTCAATTGTTAAACATGGAGACATTTGTATATTATCAAATAGGTGTTAAAACATACACGGCAGTCTAGTGTGAATTCAACAGTATAGCACTGATAACTACTAACTATTAGATCTCGTGTAGATTTATGATAGATTAGATTACGAGAATAAAGACAATAAGTCTAGGTTAGTCTATAAAAAGGTATATACTATGAAATTTAGAGCGAGGGGCTTGCCCCGAGCTCTTAATTTCATAGTATATACCTTTTCATAGACTATCCAATTTAGCACATATTTACAACTCGAGTAATCTTTTAATTGGTCTATTGATAGTTTATTTTAGCTGACTACTTGTATCACAGGTGTTTGTAAAACGGAGCTCATTAACGAAGTTTTGTAAATCTACTCACTAGTATCATTGTACAATATGTTATTCCAAAAGGCCCTTGACTCCAGAATGAAAAGATGGTAGCTGCTGGTGTAAGTATGTATATTGATATAAAGCGGTGTTTTACTATACATGTTCTTCTTACATGGTAAGATGACCAAATAAATTGACCAAAAGCAGGCAATAATTAAATTGCAGTGGAAGCTTTACATGTTTTGAAAACATTTTTTTAATTTCACAGTAAAACTAAAGCTATAATAAATTTGAAACATATAGATAGTTTGTCCCCATAGATATAGTCTAGCAGATAGGCATTAAAAAGCAACTACCAGTAGATCACAGATTATAGGTTTTGTGTTTTTTTGTTTCTTTGTTTTATTATTTCAAAGTAAGAACTAAAAAATTTATCAGAATATGTTTATATATATATATATATAATTGGCACATTATCTTCAGACATAATCACAGTTTTTCAATTCATGACATCGTCCTGAACATGCATGAAATATTTGCCACTGGAAATTAAGCAACCGATAATCAATAAATCAATCAATTCATGACGAAATAGATCACCTTCCTTAAGAAAGTTTAAAAAATTATCACCAAGTTGCTTTAATTTCCCCTTCACAAGGTTTCATAGTACACACTTTTTGTGTACAAAGTAATTGCATGGATGATACATTATCATAATTTTAAGATATCGTTGTACTCTAATCAAGGTATAAATAACCATATGTATAACCCTTTATTTAAATGAAAGAAATTTGCAATTGTCAAAAACATTTTTTAGATCCAAAGATTTTAATAGGAGGATATTTAAAAATCAACGTGAAAACTAATTACAAACTATTTAATTTAATTTGGAACACAGCATTTTATTTCAAAATAGCCAGTGGCAATTTTTGTTTTAAATATCTTGATTACGATACAATGAAATCTTACCCTTGTGGTCATTCATGCGTAGTTACTTAGTACACGGGAAAAGTATGTACTATGAAAATTAGAAGGCAAATATAAGCAATTTGATTGGACGAGAAGTTGTAAGTCTAGGTTAGTCTATGGAAAGGTATATACTATGAAATTTAGAGCGAGGGGCTTGCCCCAAGCTCTTAATTTCATAGTTTATACCTTTCCATAGACTATCCAATTTAGCACATATTTACAACTCGAGTAATCTTTTAATTGGTCTATTGATAGTTTATTTTGGCTGACTACTTGTATCACAGGTGTTTGTAAAACGGAGCTCATTAACGAATTTTGTAAATCTACTCACCAGTATCATTGTAAAATATGTGATTTCAAAAGGCCCTTCACTCCAGAATGATGGTAGCTGCTGGTGTAAGTATGTATACTGATATAAAGCGGTGTTTTACTATACATGTTCTTCTAAGGTAAGATGACAAAATGAATTGACCAAAAGCAGGTAATAATGAAATTGCAGTGGAAGCTTTACATGTTTTGAAAACATTTTTTAATTTCACAGTAAAACTAAAGCTATAATAAATTTGAAACATATAGATAGTTTGTCCCCAAAGATATAGTCTAGCAGATAGGCATTAAAAAGCAACTATAAATAGATCAGAGATTATAGGTTTTGTGTGGTTTTTTTTATTAGTTCAAAGTAAAAACTAAAAGATTTATCAGAATATGTTTATATATATATATATAAATAGACAATAAAAGTGCATTGACTTGACATATCAACGATATAAGGATGAGGCTTAGAAACGGGGAAATGCGAGGCTCTGCCGAGCTTTTTCCCCGTTTCGGGCCGAATCCTTATATCGTTGATATGTCAAGTCAATGCACTATTATTGTCTTTATACTGCAATCTAGAAAAAAAAAACATTTTCAATTGTTGTTCAATGTGTGAATGTTATTTATTTGATTTAAATATTGGAAACATCCCCCTTTAAAAAGGCCTTATACCGGTATCAGGCGGAGAAATAGACAACGCGATGAAATGTACATTACCTGTTGAAACCCGCAATCAATGGTGAACGAATTCGTTTGAGTATGGACTAAAATATCAACAATAAGCATAAAACATAATGATTTATAGGTTTCAAACAAAAAATATTAACAAGTGAAATATGTTTTTCCAAAAATTGTAAAAGAAATAAGTTTGGGTCGTTCCACGCTTCATTGTATATACATTGGAAACGAGAACAGGTTGAAGAGGTCGTATGAATAATTAAATATAGTTTCGGCAACTTTCTATTTAAATATTCATGAGGAAAAGTGATATCGGGTCAGTGACTGTATATGACATAGCAATATACAGTCAACGCATTTTGACTTCTCAAATAGAACGAGTGCAGTATAAATATAGGTGGCACATTACCTTCAGACATAATCACAGTTTTTCAATTCATGACATCGTCCTGAACATGCAGGAAATATTTGCCACTGGACATTAAGCAACCAATAATCAATAAATCAATCAATTCATGACGAAATAGATCACTTTCCTTAAGAAAGTTTAAAAAAATTATTACCAAGTTGCTTTAATTTTCCTTCACAAGTTTTCATAGTACACACTTTTCTGTGTACAAAGTAATTGCATGGATGATACATTATCATAATTTTAAGATATCGTTGTACTCTAATCAAGGTATAAAGAACCATATGTATTACCCTTTATTTTAATGATAAAATTTGCAATTGTCAAAAACATTTTTTAGATCCAAAGATTTTAATAGCAGGATATTTAAAAATCAATGTGAAAACTAATTACAAACTATTTAATTTAATGTCTTTAATTTGGAACACAGCATTTTATTTCAAAATAGCCAGTGGCAATTTTTGTTTTAAATATCTTGATTACGATACAATGAAATCTTACCCTTGTGGTCATTCATGCGTAGTTACTTAGTACACAGTCAGGAAAAGTATGTACTATGAAAATTAGAAGGCAAATATAAGCAATTTGATTGGACGAGAAGTTGTAAGTATGTGCTAAGTATGTGCTAAGTATGTGCTAAGTCTTTTCATTATATATATGAATAATTAACCAAAGGTGCTGATCTACTTGGTCAGTTTCTTTAGTCTGTAAAAAGACTAGCTACAACGTAGACCTATATGCACGTGTAGTTAATAAATTAAAATAAAAAAAACTGTTATGAAACAGACACACATCTATCTATGATACTAGATACGAAATAAATAGCTAAAGGTCGGCCTCTGATGAGGGTTTACCTGGGAATACTCCCGAAAGAACCCGAAACATTGCATATTAAATTCTAAAGAATTAAGCAATAAAAAGTACGTAGTGTCAGGTCAGAAATATTGATACCATTCCATGAATAAGTGGGTTTATGGTCTTTTTATAAAACAAAATAAAACAATACAAATAGATAGTGAAGTTAACCTCCTTTAGTGTTTCTCTATAGAATGATGATTAATTCTGTCCTCTGATAGGAAATCCGACAAGTACACTGTTTCAATTAGAAACTAGTTATTCAAGAGTATGTAAATTTATATGATTAAAAATTGGAAAAACGATTTTCTTTCTCAAATCTTGTGGAGTCCCCTGGATATCTTAAACTTTCTCCTCTTTTAACAGAACATCAAAAGCATTTTCCTCGGACAATTGTATCATTCAAGTTGTTTAATTCTTATAGAATAGCTATATATACCTTTGTAATAGCAAAAATGCGAATTTGTATAGAAAATTTTATTTTAGAAAAAAAATCAAAATCATTCGAAAAAAAAAACACCAATTTTTTATAACCCGATTAATTCACTCCTCGCCATATCGATATCTCCTATACTTATGACGTACCCGTCATAGAGCACAGAAATATAAAGATTGAATTAGCAAATATTTGTCTTCATTTTTTTCTTCTTCAGTCAACGATTAGTAAGATACAAGACACAATTCAAGTTTCTTTTCCTGATTTTAAAAACAATTTTAAAGCATTCTGAATATTAATAAAGTAGATGTGAGATATTCAATGAAACAGCAATCAAGATATATTACAGATTTTCAACATTCTTCAATCATGATAAATAAAGCAGCCAAGATATTTGAGTGCACTCTTTTTTTTTTATTGATAATTTTTTTTGTGCTTAATTAAAGATTGTAAAGTGCCGATTTTTTTTCTGCATAATACTTTTGATATGTTCGCAATTAAAAAAAAAAACCCTTTGCCTCATTAATTTCAAGATTTTATAGTGTATTATTTCGCCATAAATACAAATTTTATTGTCAATTTAGCGGTATTTCTAACATTGCCTATAAGAGAGAGATTTGGCTTGCCATAAAACCAGGTTCAACCCACCATTGTTAAATTGAATTGGATTCACTGTAACTCCATTTACCGGTAAATTTCATTAATCTCTTGGACAAAAAAAAACCACCTTTCTCCGACATGGATTTTTTACCTTTACAAGCTAAAAAATTACCATAGAGCAAATTACATGGATGATTAATATTGACCATTTGGTATAGGCATATGTCCGTGTTCAAAGCGATACGTACATGCAGGACATACATTATTTTGTTGAATAAAATCAAATCTACAAATGGGTGCCGTAGGAGGACCACTGGAGTTTTGAGCAAGGATTTCTTGGCATGTAACAGATCGAAAACTCGGGGTTATAATATTTCATGTATATTTTGAACACATGGAGGGTTACCCCGGCATCCTTTGCAAAAAAAAAAAAAAAAAATTCTTCTATGTGCCTTCGGACTTTATGTTTTGAATTGTAGTTCCACTTTCCATATTCGGTATTTATTCTGAGTCAAGTGCCTGTGCGGAGACTCCAAGCAGGCAACACGCATGTGTATAACGGCATTGTAGATTTTCTTATAAAATAACGAGAGTTGCCGGTCCGGTACACGAATAGATCGGTTAGAAAGCTAGGTTTTAATTTTTAAATTAATTAGATTGGAAAGCTTAATTCGAGGGTTGAAAATAGAGAGCGCAAAAAAGGGGGTTGGGGGTGTTCCACAGGGAATATTTTTATTTCATAAACGCTAAATTTGAAAGGTTTATATTTTTCTATTTAATCTTTAACTAGTAATGGATGCCGTAGGAGGTCCATCGGAGTTTTGAGCAAGGATTTCTTGGCATGACAAACAATTTCAGATGTTGGTCCGAGAAGCGTGAACACACCGACCTGACCAACATAGAATTTCCGCTGACCAATGTCCTAACTGAGTGAAAGATACCAACATTTTATAAACATAAAAAGAAAACTTTAAATGTTTAACATATAAGGATTATATGTATTATTTTCAAAGAAAACAAATATTTGAGAAAATATTTCCAAATTTGAGAAAAAATTTCGAGTTTTATTTTAGAAAAAAACATCATATAGAAAACAAAACACAAAATGCATTTACAATCTCAAAATTTTAAGGGAGAAAAAAGAAATTGCAAAAATTTACCGGTATATTTTTAGGTTCGTTCGTTCGGATTTTTAGTGTAACCTTCGTCAATACATGAATAACGAACCCGTGTTTTAAAAGCCTCTAAATGCACAAAAAATGTCAACAGTTGTGTTCAATTTTAATATATCTGCTTGTTATATCATTCCTTATCGTGGAAATTGTGTTGAAACTGTTTATTCGAGTATATTTGGGTATATTGGGGTAAAAAGTCATTTTGTGATCGTAAGCGGCTGACATGAACAGAACAAGTTACGAGGGAAAAAGTGATTTAAAATTAAATATATTCATAAAATAAAGTATTAATGTCGTTAAAATAACATTTAAATGCCTAGTGTAACATTGTTATTCAACCAAATTATGTTTAAACTGCTTTTTGAGGTATATTGGGGTATGTTGGGGTATATTGGGGTATATTGGGGTAAAAAGTCACGCCGTAACATATATAAAGGTTGAGACTGAACACGAATTCGGCCACTTACATTTTAGACAAAAATCATCTGAAAAGTGACGTTTTATGGCATATTTGATAGATTTTTCATAATTAAGCTTAAAGCTGAGCGTCTTTTTTGACCAAAATCAGTCCAAATCTTTTACATAATTGAATCGACTGAGGTAGACACTTAAGTGTTTAAAAAATGTCAAAAATCTTTCATTAGATGAACTTCGAATAATAGGCCAAAACTAGCCCTTACCGGACCTTCTCCTTTATACAGCTGCCACTAAAAAAAATTTTTTTAGAAAGGGTAAAAAAACCTGAATTGAAACTGGCTACATACGGACTGCTCTAAGAATTGGTGGATGGGTTCCGTAACGTGAATTTAAGCGAGTCTTGCACTCTTCCCATGTGCAAGGACCTATCGGACACTAATCTATACAGGATGTAATCGGGTACTAGTAAACATGTACATATCGCAAAGTTAGAGTATTGGTTTTTTTTTCTCTATTCTCTGACACGGAATATTCAATCTCATTCTTTTACCTTTTTTTAAAGTTGGGGTAACTACATCATCGTTAAATGATTGCTTTTGCATTGTATGTATATAGTATCTACATGTATGTACAGTACAGTACATACAATTGTGATACATTTATTCGAAGTGAACAATTTCGCTTACAAGAGGACTTTTTACCGTTGAGACGACCGAATGAAAGGCCTAATATAGGAATATCATTCCCGCATAGTTGCAATAAAAAGGTTTTGAACTGTGAAGAAAATTTCCGAAATATCAAAGGGGATAATCATAGCATTCGAAAGATGAACTTTTTAAAATCATTACACTAAGTCTTATGAATAAACTGTCCATAAAATGTAAACTATGTCTGCTGATTTTTAAGCAAAATATATGAGTGTTACCAAATTATACCAATACATCATTGTTTGTTAAAATTATTGTTTAACTATGTCCTGATATCCAGGAATACTGTCTGTATGTTGTCTAGCAGATTCAATTTTCAATATTATTAAACAGGTTTTTGCTTGTCCCGAAATTTATATTTGTTTGTATTTGACCTCTTCAAACATCGGCAAATCAGAAAAAAAAACAATCACCCACGGCGGCCATGTTTGTTGGTGAATCGGTCCGAAAGTAAAAACTCTCAGAGAAGTCTCCATATGAAAAATCCCTGCCAAATTCGGATAAATACTGTTCATTTGTTATCAACAAAACGATAAAATTACAATTATGACGGACGCAAAGTGATGACAAATGTTTACAATGGCTTTTGGTCAGATAAATTAAATTTACGGATCCTAGGAGCCCGAATCGCTAGCTTAGATGTATTTTACCCATAAAGCAAATGTCAATTTTAATCAGAACCAAAGTAATTTTTCTCCAACGTTTTTATTAGGTTTTGGATATTTCAGCTAGAGCATATCACTGAAAAGAAATCAATTGTCGAAATGCGCATCTGGTGCAGTAAAATTGGTACTGTTAATGTTATTCTTACCACTGGGTCGATACTTCTGCTGGTGGACAGTTAGACCCCGAGGGCACCAGGAGCACAGTAGCCTGTACTTCGGTACTAGCATGAAAATAAGGATATTGTTAGATTGAAATTTGCTATTAAAAATTTTGCAGATAATTTTGAATTAAGGAATATATCTCCCTCATGGAAAGCTCTGTAAATCCTTGTCCAGGTTTTGGCTATACTTTATGTCCGTTTTATATATTATATATATAAATAAGAAGATGTGGTATGATTGCCAATGAGAAACTCTCCACAAGAGA